TTTCATATTCTATGCCTAATTTAGTCTTGTACTTGTTAATTTCCTTGTGATCTGGAATTAAAAGTCACAGTATTGAAGTTAATCTCATGTACAGATTGCCAAATTTAAATGCAATTTCAGAATGCCCGTTTTTAACACATTCACTTCCATATGATGTACACATGCATCTTGTGGCATGTATTGCCTCTGTGGCATATTTGCATCCATTTCACACTTTTATTTAACCTAAAAATGGGACAGTGGGCATCAATAGGTTTATAGACAGAAACATAATTAATAAAGATTTTTTTTAAAACTTACTATTTCATATTTTAGTTTAATACTGGATTATACACTGGGAATACAATATAGCATATTTACTGCAAAAAATTGCAAATGCACATCTAGTAACATTTGCATTGCTCCTGATACAAAGGTGCATGCAATTCACAGTTTTAAACTAATAGCAAAAACCTTCTCAGAAATTTTTTTACCTTTGATTTTAAGAAATGTTTTATACTATTTTTAGTAAGGTTCATGGCTCTCCAAGATTTCCTGTCCATTTTAGCTCTTAATAAATTTTGACTTTTTTTTTTTTTGTTATCTCTTCTAAGCCTTACTCTCTCATTCATTTATACCAGCTTTCTAGGTAGGTTATGCATTGTTTTCCTTTGTCCTTCTTGCCTTCAATCTGTCCTGTGAGTATCAAATTTTCCAGGCACTCTTTCCTCATTATGTGCCCTAGAAATATCAACTGTCTCTTTCACAGACAGAGTAGAATGGCTGAAAGGAAAAGAATGACAAACATTTTATACCACTAAGACATACACAGAACTATATATACATATTTACATCTCTCTCTCTATATATATACATCTATACATATTGTATCCCACACAGAAAAAAATATATCTACATGGGAAGCAGAGTGAAAAGTGTCTTACATATGGAGATTGTTCTGCTTCTGAGAAATCATGTTTAAACACCAGATTCAAAGAGGCCAGATTCATCTACTATGTCTAAAGCGAGGACATGTTTCACAAACTTGAAATAGCAAGTCTTGGGTTTTCCCCAATTAAGAACTATGAGCTGGAGTTTCTTTCTATATCTGGGGAAGATATATACCCAAAAGTAAATGGTGCCATGTACTCATAAGCTGTTGGGGGTGGGGAGGCAGATTTAGCCAACGAAAATAACTGGTTCGTTTAGATCCTGTAAATGAACTGTATAATTTACTGACCACTTTTTTGTCACTGTATGAAGTGATGTTAGTAACATCACTTCATACAGTGACAAAAGTGGTCACATGACGGCCACTTACTAAGTGGGCGTCATGTGATCCACACGACTTATCTCGATCAAAGGGAGATAACCACCTTTCATATCCCTCATCTAAATCCCGTGTAGACAAACTAGTATTATGATACAATTACACACATAAATTATACACATGAACACTGCTTGACAAGTCAAATTTGCGTAAAATCTACTTAACCAATTAAAATCTGTAGTGAAAGAGATAATCAGCTACCTCAAAAAAGAGTTCGTGTTTTGTGTGCGATCTGCCGAAGAAAAATTACCAAAAAGTAGTTAGCAAAAATCTACTTTAAGGACCAGAATCTATACTAATGTTCTTCCCTCCCCTGAATGATGTGACCAATCAGAAAGATCTCTCAGTGAACAAAAGCCGTTGTTTTTCGCTTATGTGAGAAATTGGATTTTCTGAGCTTGATGGACTAACACGCGTTTTTGCTGGTGAGAAGTGAAGGTGGGATGTGTCACCCCATTTTGTCGTTTCTACATTGCCTGTTGGACTGTTATGACTGACTATCGTTTGAACTGTGATTTGGCTACAAGTGTTGCGGTCGAGAGACAGAAGAAATCTATTGCAGACGTTTATTGCTACTACAAGTTGACAGTCTTTTTTTTCTTTTCTTTACAACTACAAAATCAAATAACACAAAAAATAAAAATATCCGAATATTTTTCATATCTAATTCTCTGGATTAATTAAATATTCAAGGTAGCAGTGTATGTGTCAATAGATTTAATTATATTCACCAAAAATAAAGCATAAGTAGTTTTATCAGTTTCTGTTCGTAACTAACATAAACATGAATTGCATTATGTAATGGTTCAAATATCTAAAGCAGCAGTGAATGCATTTAAAATAAATGAATTAACAGATTATTTGGTAGTTGAGTACAAATTGAAACTAGAGAATCTTATTAATTGGTGACTGTAATAATTTCTGTGTTCTGCGGTTCTGAAGTTAGAAGCTGGCTGAAATACACATGCTAACTCTACAGCCTGTATTACACCTGCTTGTGGTAGTAAATATCATAAGAGCTGATGGAAGGTAAAGATAGGTTAGGTTAAGGCAGACACCCAATGACATTAAACACTTTCTGAGCTATTCAATGTTAAATACATGTCTTTGAGGACAAAAGTCACAAAAAATAAATATATACATATGATTTACATTAGTCACAAAGGTTCATTTTTTTACACAAGAATAAAAAAGGTAGGCATAGATTTTGTTTAAATTAGAATCAAATAAGTAGTTTCAGTTTACCCAAGAGTCAAAAAAATTGATGTTGGTCAGGTTTATACTGAATTCTGTTAGTATCCACTCAGAAGGGCCCCACTTTGGGGGTGTGGGGTTCTTACCCCTCTGCAGATGATGCAGACAGTGTATTCTAAGCCCTGCTTATGGAACAAAGAAAATATAGCATGGACCTCCAGGCTACTTCATTTTTCTGAGAAAAAAAAAAGAAGCTGAACCAGTATTGATAAGAAGAGAAAAAAGTCATAAAACCTGATTTTCATGAACTATTTATGTTTTTTTTTTTTTTTTTTATAATTCCCGGGATTTTCTTTGATAACATCCCTACAAATATTAATATAATTATTATAGCTTGACTAGATAGGTAGAATTTTCTGCAGTGACTCCTGAAAAAATCTAGCAATGGGCAGGAGCTCTGGTTTTATGGTATTTCCTTTCCTCTTGTATTTTTGCTATGTTGCCTGGTTAAGAAGTTGCTGAGCAGAACTCATGTTACCATATCAGCCTGTTAGCAGTCTTCGTTGTTTTATATTGGTAGTTGATATTATTACAGGAGATGACGCTAAGGAGTTTTATCTTTTTTGGAATCTGATAGTGCTCCATGCTACACCCTATAGATAACCTTTCTGCAGCATAGATTAATTGCCATCGGATTCACAAGTGGCCAAAAAATAAACAAAAAACACCTCGATTACGTTACAACGCTCTTTGCTTATGTCACAATACTTGCTAGTTCTACAAGTTTAGATCCTGAAATGCAGTCCACCCACTTCTATTACATACTTCTAACAGCTTACCTGGCACAGGGCTCATCCCTGGGCTGGGAAGTATCACTGCTATGACTAGCTTAGACCAGCTCTGACCAGCTTGGACAAGCTATGACCAGCTAAGACCAGGTTTGGACCAGCGGCCCGAGTGGAAACATTCGGGTTCCCCACTTTAAAAAACTGACCTTGTGTCATATCCTGACTCAGGGTGGGCGGGGGGTCAAGTAAATATCTACTTCTAACAGCTTATTTTAAAAAATAGCATTGTTATTAAATGTTATGTTTATAGTTTAAAATGCTCAATATCAGGAATAGAGCATATATAAATATAAAAGTGCACAGTGAGGTTAACACCTAGTGGTGAAAATCTGTTTCATGCATAAACTCAATCTTCAGATCATATATATATATATATATATATATATATATATATATATATATATATATATATATATATGGTGTAATTCCCAAAACAACCCAATTTTTTTCAGGTCATATAAAAAAAAAAAAAATTCAGAAATTAAAAAATTAAAATTTTCAGACAAACTGGATTGTATATTAATATTTTTTGTTTTATTATTTCAATTAGATTCCTCGACTAGCTTCAGCCAGCATGTCATTCGTCAGGAGAAAAAAATTCTGCTTGTTAGTTATATATATATATATATATATATATATATATATATATATATATATATGGGTTGTTTTTTTATATATACATATAAATCAGATATAAATAAAAGCTATATATTATTATTAAAATGTAAGTAAAAACGATTGTTATAGACAAGCGTATGGTTGCAAAAAAGAAATACGGCAACAGCAGAAATAGATTTACGTGGTTTATTTCAACAGGAACGTGTAGGTTTGGGACAGCTACCTTGTGGTAAAGTTCATAAGCCGGCTTCGGATCTAGGTCAGTCTCTCATAGTAGGTGGTTGATGCTCTCCTGCTGCTGATCGCTCGGCCTGACCATGACGGTCTGTTTTGCGGCCACCTGCGGACTGCCTGACCCCTTTTATAGCGTTTTTTCTATGGCTTAACAGGCTCGAGAAACGAAGCGAGTATAATTAGGAGGGAAGCATTTTTATTGGACGGAAAATAGAGCACTTTAAATATTATTTTATTTTTCGACCGGGACACGTGCGTCGGGAACATTTGTAAAGAAAGATAATGGTCATTTTGTGACGGGGCTTTGTCCCGTTCACATCCGGTTCTCGCTCTTGAGTATTTGTCTGTAAATCAGCCGAGATATGTCTTATTTTATTTTGTAACACCATCAATACTTATCAAATGTCTACACAATGTTTTGCAATATCTAAATCAATCATTGGGCCCTTCAAGAAGAGTTATATATATATATATATATATATATATATATATATAAGATGGGAATTGCCTGAAAGATCCATTCAAGCATGAAACAGGTATTTAACTTTACAGCCTAAATATAACATAACACCAAAGTATATATCATCATAATTTATAAACATTTTGCATTTGTTCGTTTATAGTGGGTTAGCCAATGTGTATTGGTTATAAATACAAATAAAACTTACCCTCTTGTTCCTACTGGCAATCAGGACGTCACCAATATAGGCAAAGGTGAAAGGTAAACCTCTCAGCACTTCATGTATAAGCCGCTGGAAAGATTGTGCGGCATTCCTTAAACCAAATGGCATTCTCACAAATCGGTATAAACCAAAAGGAGTGGTTTTATGGATATCCTCCTTGGCCACTGATATCTGGTGGAATGCTTTCACTAGATCAAGTTTTGTGAAGACTGTGGCGCCCCGTAAACCCACTGCGAAATCGTGCAAGTGCGGGACTGGGTATTTATCCGGAATTGTAGTAGCATTCAGCTTCCAGATGTCGCCACAAGGTCTCCAAGCTCCTGAGTCCGGTTTTGGAACCATGTGAAAAAGAGATGAGTAAGGACTCGAAGAAGGTCTAATTATACCGAGGTCCAGCATGTGCTGAAACTCAGCTTTCGCCAACTTATATTTATCAGGCTTCAACCGCCATGGAGATGAACACGTGGGTGGGCCTGTAGTATAAATATGGTGCTCAGCATTGTGACGAATGGTTGCTGTATACCGGAATGGTGTTGTAATTTGAGAATATTTTTGTAACAGATCCTGCATTCCATTGGCTTCAGGTAGCGTTGCGCTGATACATGTGCTCATATAGATAGATGTAATTCCTTTACTGGTAATGTTGGTTGTTTTATCCTCCAAAGAAAGGGAAGACATATTAACGGACAAGTTAAAGTGGGTGAGGAAATCCGCTCCTAGGATAAGGGTTCGAACTTGGGCTATCGTGAATACCCAAGGAAAAGATTGCCTAAATCCCAGATTTAAGATTAACGAGGTTTCACCATATGTCTGGATTGAAGATCCATTCGCCGTTTGTAACGTATAATCTGTCTTTCTAGTCAACATATTAGGCTTGGCTGGTATTACACTAATTTGTACCCCAGTGTCTACTAAAAACAAGTAGCCGGAGTTCTCATCTCGGATGTAAAAGAGACGACTTTTTGGCATCCTTCCGGCAGCAAACGTCTCAACTTGTTGCCGAGGTAGTCGTTTCCCGACTGCTGTGTGTTGTTATCCTTAGCTGCGTTCATGTTGAAGTTACATGGTTTCATACAATGCCGCGCCTATCGTCCATTTAAAATGATACCAAAAGGTAAGTATAGGCCTGCTTCTGGATGTGGAACGTGATCTTCGCCTAGCATGATGTGATGGACGTGAACGTCTAGTGAAATTGTTGGGTGTGTGATTTTGCTAATGCATAGCGGTTTGTAGAGCTTGTAACTGTGAGTTAAGCTCGGCTATACAATCTTTAATTCTCGATAACTCTTGTGAGTCACCGACTGAAGAGACAATAGGTTGTAAAGGTGTCGCAGAATCAGTTCCCGGAAGTTTATTCTCATATATTTGGCTGCGATTTCTGCCAATCGCTGTAGGTCAAAATCGTCCGGGAGTGACACTAATATTTGCGACGTTTGTGGGCTCAGCTTATCCATCCATAGTTTACGGAGGACTGTGTCAGACATGGTATTGTCACCTAGTGAGACTTTCATTTTCCTAAGCAATTGGGAAGGTTTATAGTGTCCCAAATGAAGATTCTTGAATAAGTCGTGCAACCGACGTTCCTCTGATTTGCCCGTGCGGTATAGTATAGCATCTTTCAAAGCATCATACGGTTTCTCTGCTGGTACTTCGCTGAGGAGGTCTGCTACCTCTAATGCTACATCTGAGGGAAGTTTCTCAACTAAAAAGCGTAACAGGCATGTTGGGATGCAGTGGCGTAGCTAATCGGGGGTGAGGGGACGGACCGCCCCGGGTGCCAGCACAAGAGAGGTGACACAATGTCACCCCCAACAAAATGTTTCAACCAGGCTAAGGTGCCAAAAATAGTCTGAAAACAGTGGTGGAGACACAGGGTTTTGCAGGCGGGCATATGACCCCCCAGTTTTGTCCCCCCGTCAGAAATTTTCTAATAAATTGTCGGGAAATTTGTTAGTAGGAAAAAAAGCAATGTTTTCAGCTTTCATGTGTTTCAGTTGCTACAATCTTGGTTACTAACAAGAGACATTGTTGTAACAGTTTATCGGATGATATGGTGTTTTTTTAACTCTGCATCATTAATAATAACAACAAAGCGAAATATGAAGCCAAAAGTGCAACAATTTCAGTCTTGCCTGTGTATCAATTCGCTGAGATACAATTTTCCATTGAGTGAGCGATATACTTTTGAATATATCTACTAGTGTTGGGACGATTAATCGGAATCGGAAAAATCGGAACTTTTGGGGGTATCGGAAACGGTATCGGAATCGGAAAAATTTGTGCCTATTTTCCGATTCCAAAAACGATTCGTTTAAATTTTTAACTTAATTTTCCATTATTGGTACTAATGATAAATATTTATTGTTTTTAAATTATCACTAAAACTAAAATCATAATAACATCAAAATACGATGTAAATTTATTTTACTTGTATAAAGAAAAAAAAAATAAACTTTGCATAAATTCTCTAGGTAACCTTAAAAAGAATGCAGTTGATTTACAATGTTCCGAAAATGCTTAAAAATTAAATAGAACATTTTTGTCAAGAAGAATACTTTCAAACATCATTGATAATTAAATGGTACCCAGAAAATGATGCAACGGAAAATTGAACACCGGAAAATTAGCAACAGAAAATTACGTCAACCATGAGCCAGTCGAGACTGTCGGATCTGGCTGTGCTGTCCATTGAAAACGAGCTTACAAGACAAACAGATTTTAACGATGTCATTGACCAGTTTGCCACAATGAAAACAAAGAAAACATTCATTCTAAGACCATAGTATCGAATGTCATTCTTTTGTGTATTGCCGTGTTTTGTATTTAGTTGTTCTGAAAGTGAACAGTTGCATTTTAAAAAATTTTTGATTTGAACTGATTATTTTGTGGTATTGGATTTTGTCTTGGATCATACATGTAAACAGTAACGTACTAGTCAGTAGAGTAAAGTAGAGGTAGAGCATGTATGAAAATTTAGTTACAGCTAACCATTCAGCATAGGGTGAATCGGAGTCATTGGGGTGACATTTGAGAGGACCGCCCCAGGTGACGTTTTTACTCTAGCTACGCCACTGTTGGGATGGGATCTTTATGCATTAAAAATTGCGTTTAATTGCACAAACCACACTTGAACGTTGGTGTGGTTGTACGTCGGTAAATTGATGGAAATTGCCACCGCAACATGTTCGCTGGTAGAATTTTCCATTGTTTTTGTTTAAAACATGACAATTAAAGTATTTCTCTTATAAAATGCTGTTTTTAAAATATTGCTTTGCACATTTGAACTTCGGGGTCACCAATTTATAGTGGGTTAGCCAATCTGTATTGGTTATAAATACAAATAAAACTTACCCTCTATTATTTTTACTAATGTAACAAAGACAACAACAACAAGAGAAATAATCAAGTAGAAGGAATTGTTCAACAATAAATATTTTTTTTTATAAACACAACAAATACAAAATATATGATGGTAAAGTTGTTAAAACACTTTAGAGTTCTTTGGTGTGTGATAATGAAAGAATTTAAGTTGCTGAACTGTATGTGTGAAAATGAGAAGGTGTAATTTGTTGTTATAGGAAAATTAATTTTTTTTTTTTGTATTAAATAGAAAAAAGGTATTGTTCTTGATTCACATATTTTTACAGAGTTTCCCTCTTTTACCGGAGATGCTTGTTGTGGAATAGAATATTTTGTGGGAGTGAGCAGTTTTGTTTTGTTTTTTTTTTGTTTTGTTTTTTTTTGCAAGCTGGATTTATGTTAATTTTAGTAATTAACGTTAAGCCTGGAATTGGTTGACAAGGTTCGTTGTCGTGTTGAAGAATTTGGTTCGTCTCCTTTGTTGTTGAATCGATCTCCAATGAAGTCAAGTGAATGAGTTCTATATTTTAAGTGCCCACTGACCAAGTCGCGTCGAAGTTTCGTTTTTATTAGTTCTCTTGGTCATGTGGGAGATCGAGAACATGTTTATATTTTGTGGCATCAACTCGAGGTCAAAATTTGGGCCGGTACACTTAATTGATATTTTTCAACCAATTAGAGAATGCATCAGTTGTTATATTTGGCTGGAAGCCTCTATGTGTTTAACTTGCACACATTTTGGAGTTAAAACACTGTAGGAATCTGATTCTACACCTTATTTCATCACATATGCACACGTACGCGCATACACACACACGCACATACACACATGTATGTATGTATGCACGTAAATATATATATATATATATATATATATATATATATATATATATATATATATATAAAATTTATTTACACATTTTGAGATCATTTTTCCCTGTGGCTAATCCCCATATTTTTTTTATCTCTTCGTTTAAGTGCTTGAAGGCCTGTCAAAATTTTGTAATAATAATTCCAAATGCAAACTCATTTTTTTATTATTATAATTCCTATTTGAAGAAAGATATAAATAATTAATCCTAATTTTTATTTAATCATTTTCAAGGATTTTTCTCTCTTTTTAAAATAATGTTTAAGGTTTAATAATGTTTAATATCAAATTATTTTAGTACATATATAATTATTTTATATTTAGTTTTATATTTAATAATGTTTTAATATTGTTGTCATTGTAATCCTCAAAACAACTACTTTTCAGGTTATTCTTATAATTCAAATTTAAAGGAAGATAGTAATTGTTAATCCTAATTTTTATTTAATTATTTTCAAGGATTTTTTTTCTTTTGTTTTATTTTACTGTCTCCACTGGATAAATAATTAATTTAAATTTTGATTTTTTTTCATTGTATAATTTTCTTTCTTTCATTCACTGGAGAGTGTAAAAAGGAAACAGAACTTGAGAAGCAAGATATGTGCATAGGGAGAAGGTAAAAGAATCTGTTTTGATTGATGAGAGGAAAATAGTAGCAATGAAAGTCAAGACATTTTTGATGAAGAGAAAGAAATTGTAATATAAAAACTGAAAGCCCTTAGTCTCAGTAAATAAGAAGAAATATCTCCATGTTATGACATAAGCAAGTTTCAATGTTGCTTACTCACAATTGTATTGAGATGATCCAATATATATGCTGTAAGGATATTGGTGATTATGTGTTAATGGATATAAAGTCACTTCATATCACATTAATGGATATATAGTCACTACCCCACAACATCCTGATTGGGAGCCCTGGGCAATGCTTTGTGATCCTCACTATCTTATCAATATTTGCTTTTTTTTTTACCTACATTTATATACATTACAATTTAATTATGCTCAATTGAATATTAAAAGATGAAAATTTTATTGGATTTCAACATCATTCCGGGTTCTTTTTTTTGTACAAATCCATGAATTTGTTTTGCATATGCTAAATCTCATAAAAACACTTTATAGATTCACTATTTATTTTTATGCATAATGTGTTTTGTTATTCAACTTTTTAACCTCAAGTTGACATTAAAATTTTTTGTCAAACATTGTTGATTTATTTATTATGAGATATCTCTGATTTGTATTTAGATATATTGTATTTATTTTCATTTTTTCTAGTTGAACTGTTCATCTATATTATATATGATCCATTATTGTACATAATTAGGTTACAATAAAATTAGTATTTTATATGAATACTACCTTATGACAATTGAGATGTTGTCATAGATGGTGGGGGCCAGCATATCATAGATTTGGTGGGGAACCACAAGACCCTTTCAAC